CTCCTCCTCTCCTCCTCCTCCTCCTCCTCCTCCTCCTCCTCCTTCCTCCTCCTCCTCCTCCTCCTCCTCCTCCTCCTCCTCCTCCTCGCCTCCTCCTCCTCCTCCTCCTCCTCCTCTCTCCTCCTCCTCCTCCTCCTCCTCCTCCTCCTCCTCCTCCTCCTCCTCCTCCTCCTCCTCCTCCTCCTCCCTCCTCCTCCTCCTCCTCCTCCTCCTCCTCCTCCTCCTCCTCCCTGTTCCTCCTCCTCCTCCTCCTCCTCCTCCTCCTCCTCCTCCTCCTCTCCCTCCTCCTCCTCCTCCTCTCCTCTCCTCCTCCTCCTCCTCCTCTCCTCCAGCTCCGCGTCATCATCATCATCATCATCATCATCATCATCATCATCATCATCATCATCATCATCATCATCATCATCATCATCATCATCATCATCATCATCATCATCATCATCATCATCATCATCATCATCATCATTCATCATCATCATCATCATCATCATCATCATCATCATCATCCTCATCCTCATCCTCATCCTCATCCTCATCCTCATCCTCATCCTCATACTCATCCTCATCCTCATCCTCATCATCCTCCTCATCATCATCATCATCAGCAGCAGCAGCAGAAGCATAATCATCTTCTTCATCATCACCATCATCGTCATCATCTTCATCGACATCATCATCAACAGCATCAGCATAATGATCATCATCATCATCATCAGCAGCAGCAGCATCATCATCATCATCATCATCATCATCATCATCATCATCAGCATCAGCATCAGCATCATCATCAGCATCAGCATCATCGTCATACCAGCATCATCAGCAGCATCAGCATAATCCTCAGCAATATGATCATCGTCATATCATCATCTCGTCATCGTCATCGTCATCATCATCGTCACCACTACCACCACCACCACCATCTTCATCATTGTAACCAACACCCCCCCCACCACCACCATCACCATCGTCAACATCATCATCATCACCACCACCACAATCAGCATCATCACCATCAGAATCGTCTTCATCGTCAGCGTCGTCATCATCATCAGCATCAGCATCGCCAGCATTGGAATGATCAGCATGTTGCACATCATCACTATCATCAGCAGCATCACCATCACCACCATCACCATTATCATCATCATCCTCATCAGCAGCAGCATCATCATCACCATCATCATCCTTACCAACATCACGAATAATCATCCTCGTTCTCAATCCATTCTTATCGGGACCGTCATCACGATTGGACCCGCTACGCTTAGCGTGTACGTCTTCGCAGCCATCGTCTCATCCATCATCCTCCTCATCGCGCTGGCTCAGGTTGTAGCGCAGGTCGGGTGTTTGCTGCAAGATGCCTGTCTGACGCCCCAAGAACACAAGGAAATCTCTCACAAGCATCTCGCCCACGGCCCAGGCACGGTGGCGGGATGGGCCGCAGGCCACTAAATGATAATCGTCATCTTCACCTTCGCCTTCATCACGGCTCTCCCACCCTTCGAAGTGTCACCATCTGGAATGCTGGGCTGGCACGGTAACAAGGCTTGCCGCAGACACTTGGATTATTTCTCCAAAGTGGCAATTGCTGTAGGCTCGCACGTCGCTCTTCTCAATTCGGAACCACTCGGGAATTGTGTAATAACGAATCCTCCCTTGTCAGAGGGTGGGTGCACATCAGCATAGACTCCGGAGGTCGCCAGTGATGACGACTCGGTCTGTATTAGCCAAGCCGCGCTGATACCGAGCTGGTGGAGCATGCCGGTAGCGGTAGTGGCCGTAATCGAACTTGCGGTCGTCGCAGCTAGGAAGGTGGTCACGGCCGAGTGTGTCGGGATTGATAAACGAGCTGGTGGGTGTAGCTCGCGCGGTGGCCGTGGTTGAAGTCGAGCTGGCGATCACAGCTGACGGTGTGGCCGTACTGGCAGGTCAGCTGGCGGTCGTCGTTGCTTTTTGGGGGTAGGCGTGCTGTTCGCCGATATGGCGGTCGCAACTCTTGGCGTGGCCGTGCAATGAATCAACCTAGTGGTCGGAAATATTCGTGCGGTCGTACTGGTGGTCGGCCTGGTGGTCGAGGACACGGCAGTGCTCGCGGTCGAGGGTTGGTCGCAGCTCGTGGGGGCAACCAAGCTGTCAACCGAGCGGGCGGTCGTAGCTGAGGGTGTGGCCGTGCTGGTAGCCGAACTGGCAGTGGTTGGGCGTGGGGTGGCCTCCTCCTGCTCCTCCTGCTCCTCCCTCCTCCTCATCCTCCTCCTTCTGAACCCTCGGCCCAAGGTTCGATGTCGAGGTCAGCATGAGTGGGCGGAGTAGTCAAAACTGGTTCGGGGCCTCCATCGCCCGAGACAGTACTTCATGCCAGGCATCCTACCCAAAGACAATCCTACACTCACACTGGCCATCGTTCGGGCGCCCATTCCCTGTGTTTTTTCCCAACCATTATGTGGTGTTAGGTCCTCGCTTTGGAGAGACGTCGCCCCGCGTTTCTCCTCCTGCTCCTCCTCTCCTCTCCTCCTCCCCCTCCTCCCCCTCCTCCTCCCTGCGTTTCACCCACCCAGTACAACCTTTCGTGGCCCCATAGGGAGCTCCAACGAAGGCCCCAACGGCAGCGTTCGCATGGCGGCCCCGCCCCATCTCGGCACACCCCTCACGAGGATCGTGGCCCCATAGGGAGCTCCACCGAAGGCCCCAGTGGCAGCGTTCGCATGGCGGCCCCGCCCCATCTCGGCACACCCCTCACGAGGATCGTGGCCCCATAGGGAGCTCAGGGAACTCCACCGAAGGCCCCAGTGGCAGCGTTCGCATGGCGGCCCCGCCCCATTTCGGCACACCCCTCACGAGGATCGTGGCCCCATAGGGAACTCCACCGAAGGCCCCAGTGGCAGCGTTCGCATGGCGGCCCCGCCCCAATTCGGCACACCCCTCACCAGGATCGTGGCCCCATAGGGAGCTCCACCGAAGGCCCCAACGGCAGCGTTCGCATGGCGGTTCCGCCCCATTTCGGCTCACCCCTTCACGAGGATCGTGGCCCCATAGGGAGCTCCACCGAAGGCCCCAGTGGCAGCGTTCGCATGGCGGCCCCGCCCCATCTCGGCACACCCCTCACGAGGTTCGCGGCCCCATAGGGAGCTCCACCGAGGGCCCCCGTGGCAGCATTCGCATGGCGGCCCCGCCCCAGTGGCAGCGTTCGCATGGCGGCCCCGCCCCATCTCGGCACACCCCTCACGAGGATCGTGGCCCCATAGGGAGTTCCACCGAAGGCCCCAGTGGCAGCGTTCGCATGGCGGCCCCGCCCCATTTCGGCACACCCCATCACGAGGATCGTGGTCCCATAGGGAGCTCAACCGAAGGCCCCAGTGGCAGCGCTCGCATGGTGGCCCCGCCCCATTTTGGCGCACCCCTCACGAGGATCGTGGCCCCATAGGGAGCTCCACCGAAGGCCTCAGTGGCAGCGCTCGCACGGCGGCCCCGCCCCATTTTGGCGCACCCCTCACACGGCCCGTGGCCCCGTAGGGAGCTCCACCGAAGGCCCCAGTGGCAGGGTTCGCATGGCGGCCTCGGGCCATTTCGGCGCACCTCTCACGAGGATCGTGGCCCCATCAGCGAAGGCCCCAGTGGCAGCGCTCGCACGGCGGCTCCGCCCCATCGCGGCACGCCCCTCGCACGGTTCGCGGCCCCATAGGGAGCTCCACCGACGGCGCCAGCGGCAGCGTTCGCATGGCGGCCCCGCCCCCTTTCGGCTCACCCCTCACGAGGATCGTGGCCCCATGAGGAGCTCCACCGAAGGCGCCGCCGGCAGCGTTCGCACGGCGGCCTCGGACCATTAGGATCGTGGCCCCATAGGGAGCTCCACCGAAAGCCCCAGTGGCAGCGTTCGCATGGCGGCCTCGGGCCATTTCGGCACACCCTTCACGAGGCTCCTGGCCCCATAAGGGAGCTCCACCGAAGGCCCCAGAGGCAGCGTTCGCATGGCCGCCTCGGGCCATTTTGGCACACCCCTCACGTGGATCGTGGCCCCATCGCTGTGCTGTTTCAACAACCGCGCCTGGGCGTCGTACTCCGCCTTGTCGACGTGCAACGCCACCTCCTCCCTCATGGCTCTCAAGGCCCTCTCCTGCTTCTGCTCCTCGGTGAGAGGGACGCCGTCCTTGTCGTCGTCGGCGCCCGCGAAGACGGCCACGAACGTGTCCCTGAGCATGTCGGGCTCCGGCGGGAAGCCGTGGCCACAGGGAGCGCGGGCGAACATGGTTTTCACAATTGCGGTATTCACAACTGCATATAGTTGGGTCCTTCGCCTGGCTAATTTCGGTTTCGTGCGTGTTTTTTCCGCCAAATGATCAAGGATGCTCCTCGATGGTCCTCGCCGAAGGAAAAATGCACACGTCCGAGCGATGCCAAGTCACACTGTGCACGCGTCAACTTCCCACCCTACCGAGACCCTTGCCGCAGCCCTGACCGCCCCAGCTCGCAGAAGGGCCAGTGCTCTGGAGTCTGCAGAATCCCTGGCATCTGAGAGGCTTCTGGTTCTGAGGTGGCAGTGCATCGATCCCAGCAGACAGTCTGGGAGTTGCGCGTGCGGCAGCCAGGCTGGTGGCAGCCTGAGGAGAAGGCTCTTGGGGGGGAGACGGTGGGAGAGGCCGGGGTCTGGGGGGGAGGGAAAGGACTGGGAAGACGAGCCCCCGTGGAGGAATGGCGAACGAGGTGAGGCGCTGGGACGCAGGTGAAGATCCTGCGATGCCTGAAACTAAGACGAAGCCAGACGAGGATAAAATCGGGTGGATAAATCGAGCCTCTGAGATCCAGCAGCTCTGGAGGATGTCTCGGGCGGGCGCCGCGGCCTTCCCGAAGCGTTCCGGAACGCTCTGAGAGCGTTCTGGAACGCTCTGGAACAGAATTATCCTCGTCCTGGCCCCGTCCGACGAAACACGGGGACGCAGCGCGCGCGGGCCGAGTGCTAGCATCGCCGAGCTGCTCCTGCGATCGCCAGCTGAGCGCGGCACTCGCGGCAGTGTGGCAGGGAGTGCCATCGTCAGGTTCCAGCTCCTGGAACACTGTTTTCCACCGCGGCAGAAGCACACCCTCCTCCTCCCCCTCCTCCTCCTCCTCCTCCTCCTCCTCCTCCCCCTCCTCCTCCCCTCCGCCTCCTCCTCCTCCTCCTCCTCCTCCTCCCCCTCCTCCTCCTCCTCCTCCTCCTCCTCCTCCTGCTCCCCCTCCTCCCCCTCCTCCCCCTCCCCCACGCAGAGAGGCCCCAGAATCCCAGAGAGCCAACCAGGCATTGGGGCACAGCTGCGAGGGCCAGGGCCCGCAGGCCTGCGGCCTCACCCGAGTTGCGGCCCACACTCGCCCCGACTGACACCTCTGCTGCTGCTCAAGGGGCCCAGGGACAAACAATCAACTAGACACAAATCCCATGGTTCCCCATACTTTCCCATGTTTGCTGGGTGTTCGTCTTCCCCCCCACTTCCCATAGTTTCCCATCTTGTCTTGGGAGTCGACGATGAATTGTGTCTGTGTGCTTCGGACCACCAGTTAAATAGACCCACCGGCTCCGCTTTCAAATATCCACGACGCTGCAGCAGCCGGGCAACACCATCAGGACCGGTGGGTCGCGAGCCACGGACCACGGAACCCCAAGTTGACTCAACTGTTGGCCACGGACCGCGATCACGAGCCACGAACCACGGGCAACCACTGCCGCTGGGCAGGCTGGATCCGTTGGAGACGCCCCGCCAGGCCATGGTTTCGGCCCACCGAGAATGCTTCAACGGCCCACGCCGCCGAGCAACCCGGCCACGGCCGTTGTGCCACGAAACACCGAGTCCGTTCGGCACAGGTCGACCGAGAACACGGGTGGCGCCAAGCGTGGACAGTCTCGAGATTGCCCACGAGAGAACAGACGCGTACACGGTGCCTTCGTCAACGGGGTCACAGAATCTCCTCGTGCTTCCCAACGGGTGCCAACAGAGCCAAAAGCTCAGAGAAACCCTGGACCCCCGATTCCGCAATCCAGATGCCATTGCGATGGAGCATTGCGAGCACGGCACCATGGCGCGAGGCGACGGCGGACGAACGGTACAGAGCTCCATTATGTCAACATCTCCTCGTCAATCTCTTCGGTTGCACACCATTCCGTGCCTTACGCGGCAAGTACCACATAGCGACAAGCAAGCACCAACGTCAAGGGGAACAACGCCAGGTACCGCACGGCCAGTCCGAGCTAAGGTAGAGGATGGGGGCGCGATGAGAGCGAGGAGACCGAGGCAATTGATTCCCCACATCCTGAGTGGGGCTCTTGCTTTCCCATAACACCTTCTTATCCCCTTCCCTCCCCATCCTCCTCCTCATTCTCCTCCTCCTCCTCCTCGTTCTCCCCTCCTCGTACAAGCCTCCCCCTCCTCCTACACCTCCCTCCTGATGCAAGCTCCATCGCCCACCCCTCCAGGGACGCCCCGCCAGACCGCGTCAGGGAAATCGGAATTCGAGTACCACACTATTTCCCAAGTGTTGTGCCCCTCCCACTCCTCCAGGGAGGCCCCTCCAGACCGCGGCACGGTTTTACCATACATATCTTAAGATGGGGGTTTCTTGTTACTTAGACGCCTCAGCCCCACCTCAGTCATCCTTCCTATCTTTCTCCCCTCGTACTCAGACACACTCATACTCAGACTCGCTAAACCCTCATCCTGTTCCTAATTCCCCTTATCCTTAGCCACTCAGACTCACTCCTACTCAGACTTACAGCATATTCACGATTTATGCTTATTCACACACAGTCAGACTCTTTGACACTCAGACCCATTCACTAACACGCATACTCACTCATACTTCGACCCCCTAGACTCAGCCATACAAGGGCTCAGTCAGATTTGCGACGCACTCACACTCAGACTCGCAGAGCGCGGGGATGTCTCAGGCGAGGCGCTGGTTTCAGCACCACGCGGGCGAGTCGCCAGCACCCCCTTCCTTCGTTCGCGCCCAGGTTGTGAGGATGCCTCAAGCGGTTTGCCTTTGTGGTTGCCCAGACTTCGCTGCGTTTAAAGCAGATGCGAGGATTTCTCAGGCGAGGCGCTGGCTTCAGCACCCCGAGCCCGAGGGGGCGGAGCCAGGGGGTATCTCACCCCATCGCTCGCGCCCAGATAGCGGGACTGGCTCAGGCGATATGCATGTTTGGCTGCCCAAACTTCGCCGCGCTCAGAGCAGATTGCGAGGATGTCTCAGGCGAGGCGCTGGCTTCAGCACCCCAAGCCCGAGGGGGCGCAGCCAGAGGATACCTCACTCCACCGTTCGCGCCGAGATTGAGGGGCTGTCTCAGGCGGGTTGCATGTTTGGTTGCCCAGGCGTTGCTGCGCTCAGAGCAGCGAGGGTGCCTCAGGCGAGGCGCTGGTTCCAGCACCGCAAGGGGGAGCAGCCAGAGTTGTTCTCCATACCCGAAGATCGTTGTTTGTTAGTACTCAGATGCCTCCGCCTCACCTCACACACCTCCTTCCTCCTCTCCTCCTCCCCCCCCTTCATACTTAAACCCACACATACTCAACCCTCCTTCTGTTCCTCGTTTCTCTCTTCCTCAGTCACTCTACTTAGGAGGCTCGATCAGCCCTCCTCCGGTTCCTCCTTTCTCTCTTCCTCAGTCACTCACAAGGCTCACTCAGATTCAAACTTACTCAACAGCAAATGCACCAGTTACATTCAAACTTACTTACAGTCAGACTCACTCATAGCCAGAGTCACTCACACCCAGATTCACTCAATCATACTCAGACTCACTCATACTCAGGACTCACTCTGACTGAGAGTCACTCACACTCAGACGCACTCACACCCAGACTCACTCACACTTAGACTCACACACACACTCAGACTTCCTCATGTGTATGCCCAATCGCGGCCAGATTGTGGGGATGCCTCGGGGGGGGTCCCTCTTTGGTTGCACAGGCTGGTCTGCTTTCAGAGCAGATTGTGAGGATGTCTCGAGCGAGGCGCTGATTTCAGCACTCTCAGGCGGGGGGGAGCGCCAGGGTTCTTTCACAGACGCGTTCGCGCCCAGGTTGCGGGGCTATCTCAGGCGGTTTGCCTGTCTGGGTGCCCAGACTCGTTTGCTTTCAAAGCAGAGTGTGAGGATGTCTCGAGCGAGGCGGTGGTTTCTGCACCCCAAGGGAGAACTCCTTCGCGGCCAGATTATGGGGATGCCTCGGGGGGGGTCCATGTTTGGGTGCCCAGACTGGTCTTCTTTCAGAGCAGAGTGTGAGAATGTCTCGAGCGAAATGTTGGCTTCAGTATTCCCAAAGGGGAGCCGCCAGGGCGCTTTCACCGGCCCGTTCGCGCCCAGGCTGCGGGGCTGTCTCAAACGGTTTGCATGTGCCAAAACTCGTCTGCTTTCAGAGCAGCTTGTAAAGATGTATCGAGCGAGGCGCTGCTTCCAGCACTCTGACGGGGGGGGCTGCTAAGGTGCGTTCACTGTCCCATTCGCGCCCAGATTGCGGAGTTGTCTCAGGCGGTGTCACTGTTTGGTTGCACAGGCCAGTCTGCTTTCAGAGCAGATTGTGAGGATGTCTCGAGCGAGGCGCTGGTTTCAGCACTCTCAGGCGGGGGGGGGGCGCCAGGGTTCTTTCAAAAACCCGTTCGCGCCCAGGTTACGGGGCTATCTCAGGCGGGTCGCCTGTCTGGGTGCCCAGACTCGTTTGCTTTCAAAGCAGAGTGTGAGGAGGTCTCGAGCGAGGCGGTGGTTTCTGCACCCCAAGGGAGAACCACCAGGGGAAAGGACAGACACTCTGTTCTTCGCGGCCAGATTGTGGAGATGTCTCAAGCGGCTTGTTGGTTTCGGCTTCCCAAGGGGAGCGGAGGCAGAGGAGGAGTAGAAAGGGAAGGAATAAACGGAGGAGGTGGAGGGGGGCGGTAAACTAGTCGTTTTCTTTGTTGACTCTCACTGAAGTCGTCGCTGTCGTTGTCGTCTTCGTCGTCGACTTCGTCGTCGTCGTCGTCGCACCCGTCGTCTACTCGGACTAGCTCTCGCACCCAGAGGCTCACAGACGAACGCTCTCAGCGAGAAGTGCCAGGAAAAGGAGACTCACCGTTTCTCCTTCGGCGTTTCGACATTGGGCGGAAGGGGTGGGGGAGGGGGGGGTCTGGCTCCGGACCTCTGCTTCGTGCGACTGTTTGCAGCAGGGCGTCCTGTGGGGGAGGCCTCCACCTGCTCCAAACAGGCGCCGAAGACAGCCAAGCTCTGCTCCATGGGCGGGGGGGGAGGGAAGGGTGCGAGGGCCCATGCCGATCGGCAGATCAATGAGTAAGAAAACGATCACGTGTGAGGATCTCCGCGTCGAAGACGTCATCATTGGAGGCTTAGAAATTGGCACCAACACCAACACCGAGGGTTGCCTCCACTAGGGGAAGGTGATCCTAGATTTTGGTATTGGTGGTAAATCGTTCGGCCACCTTGGAAGCCCGAATCTGACCACCATCACCGAGATCGGGATCAATTTCCCTCGGTGGGGGCACACCACCGATATTGGTGTTGGTGTCAACCTCTAGGCCTCCGATATCGCGCTCCGTGCCGCTCGCACCCCTCCCAAAGAGTACTCTGAGCTTCTTCATAAGCGTCGGGGGGTGGGGCGTCACCCCCGCCGACAGCCCCACATCGAACCTCGTCGCGGGCAGCCACCGCGCGCCAAAGGCGCTCCGACCCCCGTCGCGGCGCGACGACGAGGCGAAGTTGACCCCCGTCGGGGGGGTACCCCCCCACGCATATTAAGAAACCCAGGCAGGCCCCATTCCAGCCCGCGGCAGACCGCCGGCCCCAGCACGATCCCGTCAGCTGTTGTTGGGAAACGGCGACGCACGGCAGTCACGCAACTGGCGTTTGGTTGCGAGGATGCCAGCAACGCTGGACTGGGAAGGCGATCCCGAAATCTCGGAGGAGAGCGAGAGTAGTTTGATATACCTTTCGAAGAGGGAGACACTGCCCTTCCAGGCAGCGATCGTCCGATTTCTTGGCTTACGGTTGGGTACGACATCCTGGTTTCACTGATACACCAAGGGCAGCTGCAAGGGTGGTCAGAAGAACGCATGCGAAATTCGCAATACGGATTCCGACCGGGCCGTGGCACTGCAGACGCCCTCATGCTTATGAGGCGCATGATCGATGCCGCGCACGCCAGTGATAGTGGTGAGGTCATGGTACTTCCATGTTCGATTGGGCAGAAACCTTCGACTGAATCAAACCAGAAGCGTTGCGCAACGCTCAACAACGACTTGAACTACCCACAGCGCGCTCGATACATTCAGCTCGTTTCGGAGGAGACTAAACGCCAAGATTGCGCAGGGATGCTAGCTGTCGCCATACTGACTCATTACAATACAGACGATCATGTTGCACGACGAAGGCGGTGCATTACTTCTTGAATCAGAACCTGGACATGTGATGACAAGAGATATTATACATGCAGACGACACAACATTACTATCACGACATGATCGAATCATCATGTTATGCTACACGCAATCGCAGAAGGAGGGCGCAAATATGGGTTGGAAGCCCATCGGAACATAACGGTTCAGGTTCATATTTCGACATGCACAAAAATTACAAGACCGGATGCAAGTGAAATAAAGACCGCGCGCGACGCAGTGCACCTGGGAAATGTTGGTGACGTGTGGTGGTAAAACTACAACGATCGTGTCAAGAAGATTGAGGGAAGCAGCCAAACCTTTGAGGCAACTTGACAAGCCTTGGTTGCCCTCTTTACTTGGGTGGACGAGAAACACAAGATTTGCGACAGCGAGGTTTTGAGCAAATTTCTGTACTCTCTAGACTCACTACGGTTGCTCAAAGCTGATCGCGTTCGTCTGGACGCTATTCATTCCAAGAGTCTGAGGCGGATGTTGGGCATACCTTCGGCAAACATATAGGGTGAGTAATGCGAGCGTCGTGCGGAGATCGTTAGCGATAACGCTGTCGCAAGTGCAGTCGCGACACCCAGAGAAGTTGCATGACAAGGTTGAAAATATGACACAGGCTCACTTCTAAAACGTTTACTCTTCAATGCAAAGGGATCTCTCAAAGACTGGTCTGCGCGACGCAGGAGGGGCCGGCCCCGTCAGCAATGGGCGCCGTCTGTGCACCAGCTTGCCCAGAGCGTGCAGACTCAAGTCGCAACGTGTCCTTTGTCTTCCCTCTTTCCTCCTACCTCCTCTTCCTCCATACTGAACACCAGCTTCTTCCGTGGGTTGCCGATGCTGCAGCTCATCGTGCCCGCGCGCCCCTCTGGCTGCACAGCTGTGGTGTTGTCGTACCCTCTGAGCTATCTCGAGCCCTCTTGCCCCCATCTTGGGCCATACCGATCCCTCGGACCGCTCGCGGGGGGGGGGGCCCTTCCAGGCCCAAGGGAGAGTGCAAGATGAGGGGAAGAGAGAGTTCGGAAGAGCGACCCCCTACCTCTCCCATGACACCTAAAACTTGAAGGTGGCACTCGACGGGAGAAAGGAGTGCGTCCTGAACAGCCGTCCTCTCCCTCCCTGCTGATTCCTCTCCTTGCCTTCGACTGCCCTTCCGTGCATATCTCTCCTTGTTGTGGGCCTTCCTTGTTTGTTGCTGCAACGATGCCACATTGATCCCGCGAGCCACTTGACGTCCTTATGCGGAGAACTCTGGCAGCATAACATGGTCTTATGAGCAACACGTTCCTCCTCAACCCGTCTCCGTCTCCCCCTCCCCTTTGCTGCGCGCAGACGGGGGTGGTGCAAGGGTGGTGGCTTTCTGCGGCTGCAGCGGCCTTCGTAGAAGCCCTCCTGCCTTCTGAGAAGCCCCCCCCCAAAAAAAAAAACTCACAAGGCCTCCCCCGCCGCCCCACCACCCGCGTGCGCACCGCCAGTCCGCCGCCCCCTCCCCCTCCTCCCGCCGCTGCCCACGCCAGCTCCCGTTGATGGGCAAAATTTCCACCACCTCTAACATATGTAGGCCGGGGAGAAGGGAGGATGAGGAGGTCCTCCTCCTCCTCCTCCTCCTCCTCCCTCTCCTCCTCCTCCTCCTCCTCCTCCTCCTCCTCCTCCTCCTCCTCCCCCTCCTCCTCCTACCTCTGGTAGTAATGGTGGAAAATGGGCCCACCATCCCGTCGCTCCAACCGCGACACGGCTGGCGGCAAGCCTCCATGATCTGGCCGCCCACCTGGCCCCACTCGTCCTCGCCGCGCCGCGCCGTGTCTGGCCCGATTGGTCCTCCTCACTCCTCCTCCTCCTCCTCCTCCTCCTCCTCCTCCTCCTCCTCCTCCTCCTCCTCCTCCTGGGACCTGGGGCCGGTGGGGCGGTATAGATTTATGTACATGTACATGCTCACGCAAACATAATACACGTATACATACATACATACATACATACATACATACATACATACATACATACATACATACATACATACATACATACATACATACATACATACATACATACAAACATACATACATACATACATACATACATATATATATGCATGCATGCATGCATGCATACATACCTACATACATACATACATACCTGTGTGCATGCATACATACATACATATGTATATGCATGCTTACATACATACAAACATACATACATACATATATACATGCATGCATGCATGCATACATATATATGTATATATACATATATATGCGTGTGTATATATGTATGTATGTAGGTAGGTAGGTATGGATGTATGTATGTATGTATGCGTCTGTGCATAATTGCATGCATGCATACGTGCACACAGACATGCATACAGACGCACCTATACGCACATGAATGCATGCATACACTCACGCATGCAAACATACACTCATATGCGTCGTCTTAAACCAGACATGCATACAAACAACCAAACAAGCAAGCAAACAAACACACAAACAATCAAACAAACACACGTATATACATAGAGACATACATACATACATACTTGCATGCATCCATACAACGCATACAAACACGTATGCGCATATACATATATGCGTACAAACATACATACATACATATATACATACAAATATACACATAAACGTACATATATACACACGTGCATGCATGCATACATGCATGTATATATATATACATACATACATACATAAATACATACATACACACACACATACATACATAGATACACAAACATACATACATACATACATACAGACAGACAGACATGCATGCACACATACATACATACATACAGACAGACAGACAGACAGACAGACATACATACAGAGATGCATGCATACATCTATGTATGCGTACATATACATACATAGTTACTCGAACCATGCGCGCTACGCGCGCGCTTAGGTTCTAGCCGACTGCGCAGTCGTTTTCAATAGACCTTGCGCTGATCCACGAAACCCAAAGTACCCAGGGAGAGGTTCCCCATGCAAGGGCCGCCATTGCGTGGAGGTGCTGGGCCTTCTGGGGGGGGCTTAGGGCTCGGTGGGCGGTCGCGGAGCCGTGCGATGATCGACGGGCGACGCGTCGGAAGGTTCCGAATGTTTCCCAGACTGCGCAAGTGTCGTGACTGCCACGGTGGCCGAGGAAGGCCCCAGAAACTCTGGGCCGCCAGGCCGTCGCCGCCGCCGCCGCCCCCGCGGGCGCCGCCGCCGCCGCCGCCGCCGTCGCGATGATCGTCGCGGTGGTCGTCGTAGTGGTCGTGGTGGTGGTGGTCGTCGACTGTGGACGTGAACGGACATTTGTACGTTTTGGGGCGTTTTTTGTTTTTCCGGGGCCTCCGGACTCTGGAGGTTTGTGGGGCCTCCAGGGCCTCCAGAAACCTCCTGGGGCTCTCCTGAAACTCCCACAAGCCCCCACGAGAGCTTTTCAGGATAGCCTGGGAGGGCCCAAAGGGGCGCCAAGAGAGCTCCCGAGGAGGCCCCTGCGCCCCAACAATTTGACACAGATTTGACACGCCGCCGTCCTTGACGAGGTAGCGGTTTGTGTTAAACTTGTGTTTAATTCGGGGCCCTCTTGGGGCCGTCTCGGAGCTCTCTTGGGGCGTCTTGGGCGCCTCTAGGGCTGTCTTGGGGCTCTCTTGGGTATTTGCCCTTTTGGGGCCCTCTTGGGCAATTTCGGGGCGGTCCTGGGGGCCTGTCGAGCGCTGGAAGCTCCAAAAATCGAGACCTTCGGAGAACACAGAACAACCAATGGGATATCATTGGTCCCTGCCTGTTGCGCCCATCTGGGGAGCGCACATGGGGACCTCTTGGGCCGTCTGCGGGTGGGCATCTGGGGACGTCTGGCCGAAGGTGCCCCCCGGATTTTCCAGGGCCCCCCCCGCCTCCGGAGCGCCCCTCACGAGGCCCAGAAGGCCCCAGGGGCTCCAAAATCAGGCGAAAAGCTGGGGGCAGGGTTTTTTGGGCGGCGGACAACGAAAACCTCAAGGACGCGAGAGCAAGGAAGAGCAAGGACGCACGGGTACCCTGAGCAAAGTCGCGCGTCTTTATTAGGGTTTTTGACTGTAGGCGAAAGGTTGGGACACCTTGGGCCAGGGGCCCCACGAGCAGCCCCCGACCCAGACGTGCCCACGTCGTGGCAGAATCCGGGCGGGAGAGGATGTGCGTGGCCGTGCTCGGCCCCCTGGGGGGGGCCCTCGCGCCGGGCCCCTGGCCCGTCGAAGCGCGGCCCGGGAGATGAGACGCTGGCCCACTGGGGGGAAGGGCCGGGACTTCCAGGGACCCCGCAGGAAAAAAATCCAGACTCAGCGTGTCTGGGCATTGTTTTTTCTTGGCCTTGACGTGAGGCCTCCCCTTCTGTCCCCCCCTCTTTGTTAATTCAAGCTGTGCGCGGCCCGTTGAGTTTCGACTGGAAGAGGTGCGCTTTCGACCCGCGAATCAAAAAAAAGGGTCTGGGCATTGTCGATGCGCCGCTGACGGCACCACCACCAGCTTTTCGCCTCCGGTACTTCGCCTCCGGGTTCCTGTCCAAGGCGTTCCTTTGCATGCACTTCGCTTTCGGCACCGCCTGATCCCGGGGTTTTGCCCTCTCTTGGCCTTGACGTGAGGCCCCTCCTTCTTTTTTCCTTCCTCTGTTAATTAAAGCTGTGCGCGGCCCGCTTAGCTTCGACCGGAAGAGGTGCGCTCTCGAGGCTTCGGAGGTCGGGACCCTGGCACATCGATCCGGCTCGAAAAATGGCGCAGAAAGATGGGGTCAGGGGCTCCGGTTGCAATCTTCAGCGATGCTGTTGATGGTGTCTGGAGGATGGCGGCGATGCGTCGGCGACGTCGGCGATGCATCGGCGCCGTCGGCGTGGAGATCATCGGGATCCACGTCGAGCCGCATCGGCGATGTTTCGGCGGTGCGGCGCGATCCCCCGACCCCATCTGTTTTTGTTCGGCCCAGGGCCCAAGTCTCGGACGACCCCGCGATCTGGGCGTCGCATTCGTTTCACACTGCGCGTTGTCGCCCAGCCTCGGGGCTCGGGACCATCACGGGTCGATCCAGCTCAAAAGATGGTGCAGAACGATGGGGTCTGAGGCTCCAGTCGCTCTTCTTCGTGACATTGCAACTTCGCTGCAACGTCGGATCTTCGGGTCCTTGTGTGACCGTTGCTTTGCTTCCCCGGCTAACGGTCGTTACCCGGGGGGGGTCGGGCGGGAGGGCAAGGGCAACGGCGGCCGCGGCGCACACCCGTCATCGGAGATCTGCTAACCCTGGTCAGTCAGACCCAGGTCAGCGGGAAACCAAAAACTGCAACGCAGGAGGACAACAACAACAACAACAACAACAACAATCATTTAAGACTGGGGACACTCCGTTCTCACCAGTGCCAGGGTTTTCATAGGAGGCGGGCAATACCCCCACTTTGTGGGGGGGCCGGTTCAAGCTCTACCAAATTTCCAAACGACTCTTCGCCACCACCCACACCCAGCTTCCCGCCCTATGACGTTCGGACACTTCACTTCGTGGCATGCGGACGACCGTGGCTACTATTCAGGGCCCCGCGGCCGACGACGACGGCGTGCGCGCGCGAAGAAAAAACGAATGTGTCCCGCATGGTATTATTTGACAGGGATGATGGCCCTGGCAGGTGCGCAACCGTTGTTGCAGAAGTTCGAAAAAGTTGCTCGCAAAAGCCCGTTTGACAGAAATGTTTAAAAAGTGTTGGGTTTCCTACGAATCCGCAAGAGCGCGCGGGAGCGCGACAATTTTGACATTTTTTTGTTGAAAAACCATTGGTTTTTTGATGTTTTTATGTTAAAATCGCTACGAAACACTAAGGTTTTGGAAGGATTTCGTCTTGCGCGCGCGAATGTCCACTTTACCTCATTTTTTGCAAGGGATTCTTGAAATTTGATTATATTAGAACAAGAAATGTCATTTTATAGTGTTTTTTTGCAAGGGAAAGCGGATTACAACAAAACAACCGGATCCTGTACACACCCTCTTTTCTGAGGCTTCCTCACGAAAATGATGAAAATGTAGCTGCGGCCTAGGCGGCGCAGGGGGGGCGCGCACCAGGGGGCCCAACAATAATTATTCTTTAGAATAAATAATGTTCAACAACAACAACAACAACAACAATTACTAGCACGTGGGGACACTCCGTTCTCACCAGTGCCAGGGTTTTCATAGGAGGCGGGCAATACCCCCACTTTGTGGGGGGGCCGGTTCAAGCTCTACCAAATTTCCAAACGACTCTTCGCCACCACCCACACCCAGCTTCCCGCCCTATGACGTTCGGACACTTCACTTCGTGGCATGCGGACGACCGTGGCTACTATTCAGGGCCCCGCGGCCGACGACGACGGCGTGCGCGCGCGAAGAAAAAACGAATGTGTCCCGCATGGTATTATTTGACAGGGATGATGGCCCTGGCAGGTGCGCAACCGTTGTTGCAGAAGTTCGAAAAAGTTGCTCGCAAAAGCCCGTTTGACAGAAATGATTAAAAAGTGTTGGGTTTCCTACGAATCCGCAAGAGCGCGCGGGATGAATTTTGACATTTTTTTTTGAAAAACCATTGGTTTTTTGATGTTTTTATGTTAAAATCGCTACGAAAACTAAGGTTTTGGAAGGATTTCGTCTTGCGCGCGCGAATGTCCACTTTACCTTATTTTTTGCAAGGGATTCTTGAAGTTTGGTTATGTTAGAACAAGAAATGTCCACTTTAGCTTATTTGTTGCAAGGGAAAACCGATCGTAACAACACAACCGGATCTGGATCACATCGTTTTACCTGAGACTTCCTCACGAAAATGATGAAAATGAGGCTGCGGCCTAGGCGCGGCGGGGGGGTCGCGCACCAGGGGCCCCAACAATAATTAATTTTTAAAGGTAATAATGTTCAACAACAACAACAACAACAACAACAACAACAACAACAACAACAACAACAACAACGACAACGACAACGACAACGACAACGACGACGACGACGACAACAAAAACAAAAGAACTCTGCAACGCAGGGTTTCGCAAACCCGGGTCAGCCAATATGCGCGGCCGCCTCGCGGCCACGAGCGGCTCGCTAATCTGGGTCAGCCGAAGGGGGCCTTCGCAGGATCCTGCAGGATCCGGTGCCCTGGCTGACCCCCGTTTGCATTGACCCCCGTCGTAAGGCTCCCGACGTCAGGGTGCGTCCGCGCCACCGGCGCATCAATCGCCTGTGCACCCCCAGCATGTGGGGGGGGAATCGAGGCCACCTCCCCAGTGGCGGGACCCCCGTGGCGGCTGACATGGACCATGACCAAGGTCGGCATCAACAAATACCGCATCATCTTGGCCACGGTTTCCGTGCTTCTTGCCTCGTCTTTGGGCCCTACTTGGAAGACTCGGAGATTGCGAGTTCGGACAGAGGCGCTGCCCTCTGCATGGTCACTCTGGGGCCTCGCATGGGGCCTGGGAACATGAGTGCCGCCTCCGTCGACGAGAAGAGGAGTAGGAGGCGCAGGAAGAGGGGAGGCGGGCTGAGGCAGAACAGAGAATAACAACATCGAGGGGGTCATGGTGGGGAAGCAGGAGGCGGGGGACGAGAAGTGGTAATGTAGAGCCCTACTCAGCTGCTGCTCCTCCCTCCCGTCTTCCCTTGGTTCTCCCTTTCTCTTCCTCCTGACTCTCCGTTCTCGTCTTTCCCTGACTCCTACCTTCGGCTTTTCGTAGTCCATTGGTTTCGTCTCTCCTTCCCGAGCGCCCTGCCCCCCCGCGGATCTGGGCCATCCCTGGCACCGCTGTCCCAGGCCTGCAAGAAACTCCCAGGAGGGCTTCAAGACGGCTCAGGACGCCCTCGAGAGAACCAACGAGGGCCACAAAGCTTTCAACGACAATCCCCGATGGACCGGGACGTCAGGACCACGGAAGCCACCGCGACAGGCTCAAACAGAGCCTGCAAGGAGCCCCCAAAGGGGCGCCATGGGAGCTCCCACAGCGCCCCCCGGGCCCCAACAATTTAACACAAATTTGGCACGACACCGTCCTTGACGAGGAAGCGGTTCGTGTTAGCCTTGTGTTAAATGTAAGGGCCCTCTTGGGGCCGTCTCGGAACTCTCTTGGGGTTCTCTTGGGCCGTCTTGGTACCCTCGTTGGGGCCTCTTGGGCCATCTCGGGGCGGTCTTAGGGGCCTCTTGAGACGTCGTGGAGCGCCGGAAGCTCGAAAAGTCGAGACCTTCAAAAACACATTAAAACCTAAGGAAAACTCTTTGTTCTGCCTCTCGCGGCCATCTGGGTAGCGCTGCTCGAGTCCTCTGAGGCCGCCTGGGGGCATCTGAGATGGAAGACTCTAAGTATCGCTTCAGGCTCCTGCGCTCGGGCCCCATCTTGGGACACTCTTGGGGCGTCTTGGGCGCGTCTAGGGCCGCTCGGGGCCCCCCAGGGCCGTATTTGGGCGCTCTTGGAACCTCTTGGCGGCCCGTCTCGGGACAGTTTTGGGGGCATCTAGGACGCCGTGGAGCGTCGGAACCTGGGAAAGTCGAGAGGCCCGAAAGCACTGAAAATCCTTTAAAAATCAGTCATTTGTGCCTCGTGTGGCCCACTGGGGAACGCTCGGAGAGCCATCTTGGGCCGTCTGGGGGCACCCTGGGACGGAAGGGTCGAATTGTCCTTTCGGTCTCCTGCTCATGGGCCACTCTTGGGGCCGTCGTGGGGCCCTCTTGGGCCGTCTTGGGCCCCTCTTGGGGCCGTCTTGGGACTCTCTTGGCCCGTCTTGGGGTGGTCTTGGGGGTCTCTGGGGCCGTCTTGCGGTGGTCTTGGAGGCCTCTTGGGACGTCGTGGAGCGTCGGAAGCTCGAAAGTCGAGAATCCCAAAAGCATAAAAAACTATGGTAAATCAATAGTTTTTGCCTCTTGGGGCCCTCGGGGGAGCGAAAGTGGAGTCCTCTTGGACCGTCTTGAAGCTAGCTGGGGCTGCCCAGAAGCCCCGCGGGACATCTCGCAGCCTTCTGGTGTCGCCGTCTGCGCGGCTCTTCTTGGGCCGTCGTGGGCCCCTCTTGGAGCCGTCTTGGGACCATCTTGGCCCGTCTTGGGGCGGTCTTGGGGGTCTCTTGGGCCGTGTTGGGGCGGTCTTGAAAGCCTCTTGGGACGTCGTGGAGCGTCGGAAGCTCGAATGTTGAGAATCCCCAAAACATAGAAAAAAACCATGGTAAATCAATGGTTCTTAGGGCCCTGTGGGGAACGAAAGTGGAATCCTCTTGGGCCGTCTTTAAGCTATCTAGGGTTGCCCGGAAGCCCCGCAGGACATTATGAAGCCTTCTGGTGTCTTTGTGGCACCACTTAAGGCCGTCTCGGCGGCTGAGGTTATACATATATATACATATATATATGCACACACATATATATATACATATATAAATGCATATAAACATATATACATATGTATATACATATACATACATACATACATACATACATACAGACAGACAGACAGACAGACAGACAGACAGACAGACAGACAGACAGACATACATGCATACATACATACATATATGTATGTATGTATGTATGTATATATGTATATATATATATATATATATATACATAGAGTAGTGTGTAGGTATACATACACACATGCAGACAGACAGACAGACAGACAGACATTCATGCATGCATACAGACAGACAGACAGACATGCATGCATACATACAAACATACATACCTACATACATACATGCATACATACATACTTGCATGCATGCACGCATGCATGCGTACGTACGTACGTACATACAAATAACAAAAAAACGAACGCCACCAAGCATGCCACGAAGCGGCGAGGCCCCATGAGAGACTCCGAGTGGCTGTGGTTTGGTATCCGAGTGCTCAGGATGACGAGAACACAAAGAGAGAAAGAGATAGACAGAAAGACAGGGAAAGAGGCATAGACAGAGAGAGAGAGAAACAAACAGACAGACAGACAGACAGGCAGGCAGGCAGGCAGACAGACAGACAGACAGACGGACGGACAGACAGACAGACAGACAGACAAACAGGCAGAGACGAAGGGGAGGAAAGACATGGGGAAACAAAAGCACGCCGATGCCGCTGATCCCCAGCATGCACTCTGACCAGGATGTCGAGGCGAATCCAGCCGTGGCGACGAGGAACGGGTAGCGGTATCGGTGGATTGCCCTCCTCCGAAGAGGAGGAGCCCTCTCTTTCCTCTCCGGCGGTCCTCGTCCTCACCGTCGCCAGAACCGCCGAAGCCCCGGAAGACGTCGAGGCCAGCCTTGCCCTTCGTCTTTCTCGTGCAGCTCTCGGGGCAGGTCGCGTGCAGAGCTTTCTGGAGGGCAGCTTTTTGGTTGAGTGCCGACTCTACGCCACAAGCGGTTGCCCTTGCGTACCCCATTTCACACCTCCCAGGGCCAGCTACATGTCCATGGCACACTTCCCGCGAAGCCCGAGATCGAAGTGCAGACTCCACATGGCTCGATCAAGTAAACCTGAATCCAAAACGCTGAAGAAAAACGGTTTCCGCTGGCCTTCCGCCAGCAGAAACGCCCTCGTTTTACTTCTGCAGGCTTCCGCCGAAGCAGAAGACAACTTCTCGATCCCGTGATTGCGGGGCCCCTTTCTGGAACGCCACACACAAACGCCGCATTGGTCAGATGATCAAACTCACACCAGCTGTTCTTGCTCGCCACGAACTCGTACTGCCAAGATCAGAGATTGATCCCTTTCCCGTGGTATATCAGCGCTTCCGAAACACTATCCCTGCGCCCCCTCGGCCCAGGACCGTGGCCCCAGAAGCCCCAGATGTGCCGAGCCCCCCCCTCGCCTCACGTCCTCCTCTCTGTCCCTTGCCCTCTCTCTCTCTCTCTCTCTCTCTATATATCCCTCCTCATCATCATCATCATCATCATCACCATCATCATCATCACCACCACCACCATCATCATCATCATCATCACCACCATCACCATCACCATCACCATCACCATCATCATCATCATCATCATCATCATCATCATCATCATTATCATCATCATCATCATCATCATCATCACCATCATCATCACCACCACCATCATCATCATCATCACCACCATCACCATCACCATCACCATCACCATCATCATCATCATCATCATTATCATCATCATCACCACCATCACCATCATCATCATCATCATCACCACCACCACCACCACCATCATCATCATCATCATCATCATCGTCCTCCTCTTCATATTCCTCCTCCTCCATTCCTGTTTCTTATGAATAACTCCTCCCTGTCGCACCCCGAGGCTGGTCAGAAGGGTGGGCCAGGCGTTTCGCCGGAGACTTCCCTACCACTTATGAGCCTGAAGCTTAGAAACCGACAGCAGCTTCACAAAAGGAGGGCGGATCGCTTCCAAAATGTGGCTCTCGCCTTAGCGCCGCGCGCACTCGTCTCGAAAATTGCAAGAGCTTCACGAATTGAGGTCGCGTCGTTTTCGAAATGTGGCTCTCGCTTCAGCGCCGCGCACACTCGTCTTAGAAATGTGGAAAAACTTCACCGATTCAAGGCGCGTCGTTTTCAGAATGTGGCTCTCGCCTCAGCGCCGCGCACACCCGTCTTTAAAAAGTTGAAGACTTGCACGGACTGAAGGCGCATCGTTCTTTTTAAGTGGTTCCCGCCTCAGTGCCGCGCGCACTCATTTTTTGAAATTTCCAGGGCTCCGCGTACTCCCATGGGCAGTTACGGCTGGGTTCGCTAATCATCTGCATGCTCGCACCTGCGACTGGCTGTCGACAGTGACAGCTGTGTTCGCGAATTATCTGGCTCTGTGCCCCAGTCAGCCCGATAGACACGCCCTCTGGACTCTTCCTTGCGGGCCGCTGATAAAAAAAAATACTCCCATGGGTAACCCTCCAGAAACTATGTGTTCGAACGACACGACTCAGGATTGTCAGGGCGCAACAGTCCCAAGAACGGCGTTTTGGCACGCTTCAGGATCGTCAAGACGCAACAGTCAGGTTGACCCGCGATGTCGCAGTCCTGAGAACGGTGTTTTGGCACGCTACAAAATGTCCGCCCTCCCTGCCTCCCTACTGCTCCTGCTCCTTCCCTCTCTCTATTTTGTCAAACCTCTTCCGTTCCGGTTCCCTGTTACATACTCTCTTCGCATTTTCCCGCCATCCCCACTCATCTGCATTCCTTCCTCTCTCCTCCCCCCCCCGCCCCCCTCCCCCATATGGCAGCGGAAGAGCACTCCCAGCTGGTTTCTGGATTCATCGTGCAAAAGCAGACAACGAGTGTGAAAAACAAATGACGCAGCATGAGATAATCCCGTGTATGCGCGCATTGCCCCGCAACTGCGGATAAGAGTGAGGGGGGCAGCGAGGTCGACAATAGTCTATGCGGCTCTGGACAAGCCCGCCGCCGGCAACGAAATTACAACACTTTACACAACGAGCCCGACGCGAACACCGATTTTTCATCAACACAACATGGGTGGGTCGCGGGTTTGTCGCGGGTGGGTCGCGGAGTGGGTCGCGGGTGGGTCGCGGGTGGGTCGCGGTGGGCAGGCGGGACGACGAAGACGACGACGACGCCGCCGACGACGACAAAAACAACATCAACAAAAACAACAGAAATCAGGTTAAGACTGTTCGCTCTTATCTGCACGCGTGCCGTTCACAACGTGTACCCCAAACCATCGATACCCGCCGTCTTCGTTTTCGATCGTAACCCCCCTGGGGGTACATCTTCCTTACCTGCCGCGTGTAATCAAAGCCCGTGGCAGAACCAGACGGGCTGATCGGGCGGGTAGACCCCAACGGGCGGGTCGGGAAGGCGGGCCCAAGCGGCCAGGTCGAGCAGGGGGGCTGCTGAAGCGTGAATACTGCATGATAATCGCGAAGAGCTCTCGAACGATTGGTGTCATTCCCAACTGAATCTCTAGAAAATCCAAAGCGAAAGCGCGATTCCTGAGCGTCGAGATCGCGGCGTTTGAATGAATTGCGAGGCCGTCCCACGCGAGAGCGCGATTCCTGCATAAATTGTGAAGATGCCCTGCGCGAGAACGCGATTTTGAAATAAGTTGTGATGAAGTATCAGGCGGGCGCCGTTGTTGCTGTAACTCGGGGGCCAAGGGGCAAGTTTGACCCTCAAGACTTCCCCTGCTAAAAACTGGGTGCCGCCCCAGGAGGGGCACTTCAAGCGGCTCCGCGGGGGGGGACCAACAACAACAATAAGTTAAATAATAATCGCTTTTATCTGCTCGAGTGTCCATTAACGCGAATTACCCAAACCCTCGATACCCGCCCTCTTCGTTTTCGATCGTACCCCTTTTGGGGGTATGCCTTTTATCCCTGCAGGCGGGGCCCCGGAAAGCGGCGGGGCGGCCGCGGACCGTCGGCCTGGCCAGCGGCAGCGCTGATCGGCGGCAACCCGACCCCAAGAGGGACGGACAGGGGATCGACCACGACGACGACGACGACGACAACGACGTCGACGACGACAACGGCGACGACGACGACGACGACGAGCGAAAGCGAGAGCGAGAGAGAGAACGACAGCAGGGCCACGAAGGGCACGAAGTAGGCCACGAAGGGCGACAGTAGGGACACGAAAGGAATGCGTATGGGGCCACGAAGAGCGCGAACGAGCGGGAGCCACGAAGGGCAGATTATGCGGGGCCACAGAAGACAGCGACGGGGCCACTGAGGGTAGCAACTGGGCCACGTAGGACAGCGAGGGGGCCACGAAGGGCGACAGCGGGGACACGAAGGGCATGCACATGGGGCCACGACGGGCGCGAACAACCGGGGGCCACGAAGGGCACACGTAGATTGGGCCGCGGAGGGCAAGGACGGGGCCACTGAGGGCAGCAACGGGGCCACGAAGGGCAGCGAGGGGGCCACGAAGGGCGACAGCGAGGCCACGAAGTGCATGCATATGGGGCCACGACGAGCGCGAACGAGCGGGGGCCACGAAGGGCATACATACATGGGGCCATGAAGGGCAGCGAGGGAGCAACGAAGGGCTGCAACGGGGCCACGAAGGGCAGCGAGGGGGCCACGAAGGGCTGCGAGGGGCCACGAAGGGCAGCGAGGGGGCCACGAGGGGCTGCAACGGGGCCACGAAGGGCAGCGAGGGGGCCACGAAGGGCAGCGAGGGGGCCACGACAGGCAGCGAGGGGGCCACGAAGGGGTGCAACGGGGCCACGAAGGGCAGCGAGGGGGCCACGAAGGGCTGCAACGTGGTCACAAATGGCAGCGTGAGGGCCACGAAGGGCTGCAACGGGGACACAAAACAAAGCGGGGGGGCCACGGTCACGAAGGGCTGCAACGGGGCCACGAAGGACGGCGAGGGGGACACGAAGGGCTACAACGGGGCCACGAAGGGCAGCGAGAGGGCAACGAAGGGCTGCAACGGGGCCACGAAGGACAGCGAGGGGGCCACGAAGGGCTGCAACGGGGCCACGAAGGGCAGCGAGATCCAGATTCCTAAATAATATGTGATGGAGTCTTAAGCGTGAGCGCGACTCCTGGGTGCCTGAGTGTCGGGAGCGTGGGGCTTGAGTAAACTGCGGGAAATCCCAACGCAAGGGCACTATTCTTGAATAAATTGCAAGCAAGTCTCCAGCGAGAGCGCGACTCCAGAGCGCCGAGAGAGCGATTCCTGAATAAATTGTAAGGAAGTCCCATGCGGGAGCGCGATTTCTGAATAAATGCGAGGAAGTCTCGGGCGGGTGCGGGGGTCCTGGCTTAATTGTGAGGAAGTCTCAGGCGGGAGCCGTTGTTGTTGTAACCCGGGGGCCAACAACACAGTTTGAGGAGGAGGACTTTCCCTGATAAAAACAAGGTGCGAGCGCCGGGAGGGGCACTTCAATTGAACAATACAATGTGCACCGGAGGGGGGTTCAACTATGAATATTCTTCAGTAGTGAAACTTCAACAGCAACAGCAACAACAGCAGCAGCAACAACAACAACAACGACGACAACAACAGCAACAACAGCAGCAATCATTTTAAGACTGCTCGCTCTTACTGGCACGCGTGTCTTGCCTTCTGTATACCCCAAACCCCTCAATACCCGCCCACTTCGTCTTCGATTGAACCCCCCTGTCGGGGTGAATACCTTCTTTGTCGGCCACTGGCTGAAGTGCGAGGAAGTCTCGAGCGAGAGCGCCGTTCCTGAGTTCGGGGGCCTCTCTAGCCAGGCGCTCTCGGAATACCGATGGAGAAATAGAGAACGGGAACCTTCGTCGCCGCGTCTGGGCCTCCACCAACTTGCCTGAATTACGAAAAAGTCTCGAGCGAGAGCGCCGTTCCTGAGTTCGAGGGCCTTCCTGGCCAGGGGTTCTCGACGTAAATCGTGAGGAAGTATCGAGCTAGAGCCCTTGTCGTTGTGGCTGGGCCTCCGCGAACTTGACCGAATTTCGAGAAGTCTCGAGCGAGAACGTCGTTCCTGAGTTCGGGGGCCTCTCTGACCAGGGTGTCTCGGGGTAAATTGTGAGGAAGCATCGAGCGGGAGCCGTTGTCGTCGTAGCTGGGCCCCCAAGGGCCCACATTTAGACTCAAGCCAACGCTCGCGCGGGAGCCTCGTTTTCTAAGAAAATGTGGCCGGCGTCGAGGCGAAAGCGCGCGGAACCGCTTCCAGACATCAACGGTAATTATTCTGTAGAAATGAATATTCCACAACAACAGCAACAACAAGAATAACAAGAACAAGAGCAAGAACAAGAAGAAGAAGAAGAACAACAACAACAACAATGGCGATGTTGATGGTGATGTGATGGTGATGGTAATGGTGATGGTGGTGATGGTAATGGTGATGGTGATGGTGATGGTGATGGTGATGGTGATGGTGATGGTGATGGTGATGGTGATGGTGATGGTGATGGTGATGGTGGTGGTGATGATGGTCATGGTGATGATGATGGTGATGGTAATAGTGATGGTGGTGATGGTGCTGGTGCTGGTGCTGGTGATGTTGATGGTGACAGTGATGGTGATGGTGATGGCGTTGGTGATGGTGATGGTGTTGGCGATAGTGATGGTGTTGGTGATGGTAATGGTGATGGTGGTGGTGGTGTTGACGGTGACGGTGATGATGACGGTGATGGTGATGGTGATGGTGGTGATGGTGCTGGTGCTGGTGATGGTGATGGTGATGGTGTCAGTGGTGGTGATGGTGATGGTGATGGTAACGACGATGATGATGATGATGATGATGATGATGGTGGTTGTGGTGATGATGAAGATGCTGATGCTGATGCTGTTGATGATGATGATGGGTATGATTGTAAATGCGGGCATGATGATATTGATGATCATGATGCTGTTGATGATACTGATGGTGCGGATGGTGTTGATGGTGATGATGGTGATGGTGATGGTGATGATGATGGTGATGCTGATGACAATGATGATAATGATAATAATAATGGTAATGCGGATGATGATGATGATAATAAGATGCTGATGCTGATGATGATGATGCTGATGCTGGTGATGGTGATGATGATTATGATGATGATGATGCTGCGGATGATGCTGATGATTATGATGATGATGATGGTGGTGATGGTGATGACGATGCTGATGCTGATGGGAATGTATTGATAATGATGCTAACGAGGATGGTAATGCTAATGATAATGATAATGATACTGGTAATGGTAATGGTATTGGTGGTGGTGATGATTATAATTGTGGTGCTGATGATGACGCTAATGATGATGGTGATGATGATGATGCTGATGACGATGATAATAATGTTAATGATTATGATGCTGATGCTGATGCTGATGCTGATGCTGATGCTGATGCTGTTGCTGATGATGCTGATGCTGATGCTGATGATGATGCTGATGATGATGATGACGATGGCGATGACGATGATGATGACGGTGATGATGATGATGTTGATGATGATGGTGATGATGATGATGCTGGCGATGATGCGGACATGCTGAGGGCAGAAGGAAGAAGGGTGAGGAGGGAAGGAGGGAAGACGCTCGGCACTGCTGATTGAAAAGGAGGACGCAACACCACAGGACGGTTGAGAAGAAAAACCGATCAGCAAGATCAGGTTCCAAGGGCCCCGAGGAGGCACCTGCCCGAGAGACTGCGCGAAAGCCTTAAGGGACAGGCCAAGGGGGGCGGAGGGGGGGGGGCGCAACCGTCGCCAGTCGGAGAAAAGACAGGTGGCATCCCTCAGCTCAAGCGGCGGACAGGTCAAGCCAGGAGAGGTGTCGGCGACGTCCAAGCAGGGGGCGTCGGAGAAGGGGAAGGGGGGGGGCGGGCAAGTCATGGCCCGAGGCATGTGCGCGGCCCAGGGGGGGGGGGGGCTGGGGAAGTACTGCAACGAGAAGGGGCGCCATGGCATCGGGGGAGCCATCATGGCCCAGGCCACGATATCTTCCCCCTCCCCTAGGCATCACCCCCTCTTGGCCGCCCACGAAAAGAGCTGGTGATATCGTATCAGCACGGGCTGCGGGAGAACAAAGTGACAGCCAATACCAGTAGTCAGGCCCATTTTCAACATGGGGAGCGTATGAAAGATAACGATAACGTGAGGGCGAGATAGACGGCAAGATCAAAGGCCAACGCCTCCGCATTTGACCAACAGCTACGTAGTACGATTGGCCAGCAAGCGCGGGAACCTTCGCGAGGACGGGCGCGCTCCATCAAGTGTGAACTGTACCAAGAGCGACACCAGCCCGTTGCAGGATCTCTCAACCGTAACATCTCAAAGTAGATGTTGGAATTCATGAGTTTCTGGCGGAGGGCGCGTGGGCTGCGAATCCTAAAGTTGAGCGAGGGTATCACCAGCAAACGCATACGCACAACACACTTTGACATGTCAAGCGCTGTTGACAGACTCTGATGCCAGGTCAAAGAGATGAATCATCTAAGCACCATGACAGGCACCACACAGGCAGCCTCTACGTGGCATCGCCAGATGCGCCAAAAACATGTGGCTGACAGGGGCCAAGATGGCTACGGGGAGGAGCGGGAGAAGAGAGAAGAGAGAAGAGGAGGAGGAGGAGGAGGAGGAGGAGGAGGAGGAGAGCAGGCTAGGTGCGCTCGCGCATTATCTGACGTCCGATCTCTCCCACAAATCCCTTCCAGCTGCAAAAAACGGTGTCCTATTCGCCAGCTGGGTGTCCTCAAGGACCTTGATCTCCCCAATGACCCCATCGCGTGATTCGCAATCAGACAAGGGGTCTGTGTAGATTGGGAGAGGGGTAGGTAACGGATGAACAGGAGGACAAGGAGAATAAGGAAGGAGGAGGAGTAGCAGCAGCTGGAGCAGGAATAATCAGAGCGACAGGAGAAGGGGAAGGCGGAAGATGGAAAAGAGGGATCGGGAGCGACGAGAACGGAATCGGATCCAGAAATGCGGCCCGCGCTGGGGCAGGAGCGCAGTTCTGAACAACGGAAGCAAAGCGCCGATGCGGAATTGCGGCCAACGCTGCAGCAAAAACACCATTTATGAAACACCGGGAGCACTTCGACCGACAAAAGCTTCTGATGGCATCCTGCGTGTCGGAAACCGATATGCGAGATAGGCGGGGGCACCGCTGCAAATGATCAGGGGAGGGGCAAGTAGCACTCAGACTGGGTGATTGTGAAGGGGGAGGGAGGAGGTGCCTTGGCAAATCGCTGAATCATGGCAATAGGCGATGGCCATGGGCAAAGCTATATATGACAGAAGCTTGAGGCTTGGGAATGGGCACCAACACCAGCACAGGGTGCTGCCTCCACCGGGGGAAGGTGATCCTGGATTTCAGCGTTGGTGGCCATCTCTGGGTCACGTAACAAGCTCGATTCTTACCACTAGCACCCAGATCCCGATCAACTTCCCTCGGTGGGGGGCAACCGCTGATACTGATGTCAGTGCCAACCCGTGGGCCTCCGCAACCTTGGCATGATTATAACACTTCTGGCCTGAACGTCCTCGAAAGTCATCGCCCCGCCGAGCGCGGTCGGATCCGCGATGACGCCGGACCCCTTCGAGTACTCTTGGTCGCACCCAGAACCTCAGAGGCGGTGCCAGGATCGCGCCCGCACTCGCGCTCAGGACTGTGGCACCCCGTAGAAGCTTCCTGCTCTTCGTCTTCCCGACCACTCCCCGTCCGTATCCCTATCCTCCTTCCCGCTCCCCCCCCCCCACTATTGCCCTCCCCCCTCCCCCTCGTCTCCCTCCTACCAGCACATACCCTCCTCCCTGCGGTCTGTCCGCCCATCCCTGGGCGGCGGCCCGGCCGCACCTGCACGGACCCCACCAGCGGCGTGGCCCGATCGGCGCCACCGCCACCACTCCGCGCACCCCGTCGCCAGCTTCGCTGAGTGGTGGTGGCGGCCCTTGCCACCTCCATCCGTCACCGTCCCCTGGAGGAGGACGACGCCGAGAAGAGGGCTCATGTACCGATACCGCGACTCTCCGGACCTCTCCCGGGATGCGTTCTGACCAGAAGTTCGAGGCGAACCCAGCGGTAACGAAGAGGGGGCCTCCCAGGAGGCCCCGAAAAGGCGAAAACGACGGAAGGGCAGCAGTGTGGGTACCGTTTTGTATGTTATTGTTTTATATTTCATTGTTTTTATCCGCGGGTTCCCGTCAGAACAGCAACTCCTGGACATGGCCGACGCGCGACGGCGGGCCCGAAGGGGACCGAAAGAAGGCAAGGGACGGGGAACCAGGATCCAGACAAGGACGAGCGAGGGCCACGACGAGTGTGGGTACCTCCTCCTCCTCCTCCTCCTCCTCCTCCTCCTCCTCCTCCTCCTCCTCCTCCTTCTCTGGGAAGGGGAGAAGGCGGGCCTGCGAGAAGAGGCCCCACCGCCTCGCGGCAGGCCCGCGGCGGCGCCCTCCTGCTGGCCACCTCGGGCCCGCGGGCCTCGCCCCGCACGCTCACGGGGCGGCCTCTCAAGGACGATGGCACCTCCAGCTCCTCGTCTGTCCTCACTCCTCCTACCGCTGACCTCATCCTCCTCTTCCTCATCCTCCTCCTCCCTCTCTCCCTCTCTCCCTCCTCTTCTTCTTATTCTTATTACCAATATCATTTATATTGTCATGATTGATATTATTATTCGCCGTCTTCTGGAATTAGTATTGTTAATGATATGCCTAGTAATAATAATATGATTAGTAGTTTTGTTATGATTATGTGTGTTATTGTTCTCCTCCTCCTCCTCCTCCTCCTCCTCCTCCTCCCCCTCCATTCCTTTCCTTGAAAATAACTTCTCCCTGTCTCACCCCGAGGCCAGTTTTAGGGCGGGCCGGGCGTTCCGCCTGAGAGCTCCTCACCACTTATGACCCTGAAGCTTCAAAAATGACAACTGTTTCGCGGGTTGAAGGCGAGAGGTTTTCAAAACGTGGCTCTCGCCCTAGCGCCGCGCACATCCGTTTCAAAAAATTGCAAGAGCTTCACGGATTGAGGTCGGGTGGTTTTCAAAATGTGGCTCTCGCCTTAGCGCCACGCGCATTCGTCCTAACACATTAGAAGAGTTTCACGGATTGAGGGAGGTTCCTTTTCAAAATGTGGCTCGCGCCTTAGCGCCGCGCACATTCGCTTTAAAAAACAAAAGTTTCATGGATTTCCCGGATCGGCGTACCCAAAAATCGCGTTTTGGGAAGGATTCAGGATTATGAGGGTGCAACTGTTACGTTGGCTCGCTGTGTTGACGTCTCAGGAATGGCGTGCTGGCACGATTCAAGGTCGATCGTGAAGACGCAACAGTCAGGTTGATCCGTGGCGTTGGAACCCCGAGAACATTGTTTTGTCATGCTTCAGGGTCTTCAAACCGTTGTCTTCCAGCGAGTCAGTTCCCTCAGTGGGAATGAGCCGTTGCAGGGGCCTGTGAAGAGGGAGCTTGGAGGGAGGGTTCATTCCAACATCGTTGATGACTCTTGGGTTTCCGCTGGTCCTCCTCCTCCTCCTCCTCCTCCTCCTCCTATCCCTCCTCCTCTTCCTCCTCATACTCATCCTCCTCTGCCTTCTCCATCTCCTCCTCCTCCTTCGCCCTCTCTGCCTCTCTCCCTCCTCCTTTTCTTATCTATTATTATCATGGTTCTGCTTAGTAGTGCGATTACGAGTCGTAGTATACGTAAACGCCTTACTCTTATCATTACTATCATTATTAGTTTTATTCGTACCATACGAATATAAGTACCATATGAATAGTATTCCACCTCCTCCTCCTCCTCCTCCTCATCCTCCTCCTCCTCATCCCCCTCCGCCTCCTCTGCCTCCTCTGCCTCCTCCCTCCTCCTCCGCCTCCGCCCCCTCCACCTCCTCCTCCTCCTCCTCCACCTCCTCCTCCTCCTCCTCCTCCTCCTCCTCCTCTCCCTTCTCTTCTTCTTCATCCTTCTCATCCTCCTCCTCTACCTTCTCCTCCTCCTCCTCATCAGCAGCATCGGCATCAGCATCAGCATCATCATCATCATCATCAGCAGCAGCAGCAGCAGCAGCACCACCACCATCATATTCGTAATCCACATTAGCATCATCAGCAGCAGCAGCATCAGCATCAGCATCAGCAGCAGAATCATTATTATCATCATCCGCAGCAGCAGCATCTGCACCAGCAGCAGCATCATCCTCATCATCATCCTCATCCTCATCCTCATCCTCATCCTCATCATCATCATCATCATCATCAGTGCCAGCATAAGCATCATCATCATCAGCATCAGCATCATCATCATCAGCATCATCGTCATCATCGTCACCGTCAGCATCAACACCAGCATCAGAATCAGTAGCAGCATTATCATCAACAGAAGCAGCATCCTCATCATCATCAGCAGCATCGTCGTCATCGCCATCATCATAATATTCAGCATCATCATCAACAACATGAGCAGCAGCATCACCAGCATCATCAAATCATACTCTCATTACCATTACGATTCATTATCATTCATTACCATCAACAGAATCACTTCTCCTTCTCATCCTCCTATTCCTCTCTTCCTCCAACTCGCTCTTCATTGATTCTCCTCCTCCTCATCATCCTCCTCATCGTAAACGTCCTCCACATCGTGTTCATATAAATAACTCCTCCTCTGTACAGCCCCAGACGTGTCCGTAGGCTGGGCCAGGCGTTGCCATTCATGATTCTGATGCTTGCAACTTCTAGCAGATTCAAGATTTGAGGGCGGGCCGTTTTCCACATGTAGGTGCCGCACATATTTTAGAACTTTGCAGCAGCTTCACGGGTGGAGGGCGAGCCATTTTCAAAATTGAGCTGTCGCCTTAGCGACGTAAATGTTCTTCTTAGAACTCTGCAATAGCTTCAAGGATGCAGGGCGGGTCGTCTTCAAATTTAATTCTGGCTTTAGCGCCACGCTCATTCGTGCAAAAAATCTGCAACCGCTTCTAGGATTGAGGCCGACTCCTTTTCAAAATGTGGCTCGCTTCTTAGCGCCGCGCGCATTCTTCTCGGTCTGCGGCGAGTTAAGTCGAACAAGCGGTGGCGAGTTGGGTCCAAGAAGTGGTCACGCAAACAGAAGGCTGAATCTGTTGCGATTGAAACGTAGGGACACGGGCGGGAGAGGCGAGAGGATAAGGATGGCCGCGGTTCGGCCAGAGACCGCTCAGATCGTGGAGAACTTCAGAACTGCAGTATGCGCCTTGGAGCTTGGCTCTTCTTAAATATGCCCAAGGCATGTTTATTGTCTTTCAACTCGGCGTGTTGGAAATATGATGTTGTTCGCGTATCTTGGTCCAAACAAGAAAACTGAAATCGCTAAACGATTCATGTGGTCTGCGTTTCCAAGTATGCCTTTGGTTCTTGCTACTAATATTATTACTACTACTACTACTACTACTACTACTACTACTACTACTACTACTACTACTACTACTACTACTACTACTACTACTACTACTACTACTACTACTACTACTACTACTACTACTACTACTACTACTACTACTACTACTACTACTACTACTACTACTACTACTACTACTACTACTACTACTACTACTACTACTACTACTACTACTACTACTACTACCACTACTACTACTACTACTACTACTACTACTACTACTACTACTACTACTACTACTACTACTACTACTACTACTACTACTACTACTACTACTACTACTACTACTACTACTACTACTACTACTACTACTACTACTACTACTACTACTACTACTACTACTACTACTACTACTACTACTACTACTACTACTACTACTACTACTACTACTACTACTACTACTACTACTACTATACTACTACTACTACTACTCGCTACTACTACTACTACTACTACTACTACTACTACTACTACTACTACTACTACTACTACTACTACTACTACTACTACTACTACTACTACTACTACTACTACTACTACTACTACTACTACTACTACTACTACTACTACTACTACTACTACTACTACTACTACTACTACTACTACTACTACTACTACTACTACTTACTACTACTACTACTACTACTACCACTACCTACTACTACTACTACTACTACTACTACTACTACTATACTACTACTACTACTACTACGACTACGACTACGACTACGACTACTACTACTACTACTACTACTACTACTACTACTACTACTACTACTACTACTACTACCACTACCACTACCACTACCACTACCACTACTACTACTACTACTACTACTACTACTACTACTACTACTACTACTACTAAACGTTCACGAAGAACCAAGCCTTGGAGCAGGCTCACATTCACGATATTGCCAGTGTTGACGCACAGAACGGGGACACAAACGATGTAATCGAGCGGTGCAGAGCAACACGTGGCCACAACACCAAGGCGAGACGATGAGTCATAAGAAGGACAATGCTAAAAGCGGAGGCCTGAAGGCAATGGTGTCTGCGCAACGCGCCACCTCAAACACATGTGCCCGCAGACTCGATACCCAGGGTAAGAGCATAAACATTGTACCAGTCAGAGTGAGGCGGACGTCCAAAAATCAGAGCCGGGGTCGGGACCGTCACGTCTCCCACACTGTACTGGCCGTATGGACTCTCAAATAATTCGGCCATTGGGGTGCCCGAATCCTATCGAATTCACGATGTAAAACTGCTGTTGTAATGCCTTTCGTTTCTGGTCCTGGCAAACATCTGTACTTTCTGGCGTCTGGGGGGATGAAATCCTTCCTCCTTGAATTCCTCAAACAGGTTCCTTGCAGTGGGCCAGTTCCTGCAATGAACCCATGAACAAGAAGTTGTGAGGGAGGGTGTATTGCAACGTCGTTGATGCGCCTTGGGTTTACACTGGTCCTCCTCCTTCTTTTCGTCCTCCTCCTCCACCTCTTACTCCTTCTCCTCGTCCTCCTCCTCCTCCTCCTCCTCCTCCTCCTCCTCCTAGTCCTCCTCCTCCTCCTCCTCCTCTACCTTCGCCTCCTTCTCCTGCCCCTCAACCTTCTCCTCTTCGTCCTCCTCCTCCCCCTTTTGATATCCTCGTCCTCCTCTTCCTCAGCATCGTCTCCATAAGCAGCATCAGCATCATCAGCAGCATCATCAGCATCATCAGCATCATCATGAGCATCATCCTCATCATCAGCCTTATCAGCAACAACATCATCATCAGCAGCATCATCATACTCATCATCATACTCATCATAATCGTCATCATACCCGTCATCGTTATCATCACCAGCATCATCAGCAGCAGCATCAGCATCGGCATCGCCATCATCACTGTCATCGTCACCATCATCTTCATCAGCATCACCATCATCATCATAATCAGCAGCAGCATCATCATCACAATAAGCATCACCACCATTACCATCATCACCATCATCTTCATCTTCGTCCTCCTCTTCCACTCCCACCTCCTCCTCCTCCTCCTCCTCCTCCTCCTCCTACGACCCTTCCTCCTTCGATCCCCCCCGGCATGCTAAGAGATGTCACAATCCTCGGCCTCGGCGGAAATGATCTTGGGATTGGGGTCCTGGCAGACTTGCTCGGAGAAGGTGCGGGAGCTGGAACAGCAAGGGACAGGAGGAGAAGGAGGAGAAGAAGACGGGAGGCGCCGCGTCAGCAGGCCAGCCCCTTCGTGGGAGAGGAGACGTCGCTGTTCGCCGAGGGCTTTGCACCAGGCGTGCCCCTTCCGTCCGAAAGAGAGAACATGCCACGCGTGACCACGGGAAAGTGGGAACGCACGCCCGGAGCGGGGGGGGGAACGACTGCGCGAAGCGAGGCCCGAGAGGCAAGAGGTGCAGGACGCGCGGAGCGCGGGCAGGCACCGCGGCACAGTCGAGCACCGCAGGGGGGGGGCGCGAGAAGGCACACGGCGCGAGAGCGCGCCGCGCAGGGCGGCCGCCCGGGGGCAGGGCATCGGGGAGAGCGAAGGGGGCGCGGGGCAGACCGCCGACGCGGGCGACACGAACGGGGGCCACCCACGACGAGAGAGAGAGCATCGTTCAACCGATCCTGTAAGAACGGTTTTTTGAAGGCAGATCTGCCTTCAAAAAACCGTTCTTACAGAGTAGACCAATTTTTTGAAGGCAGATCTGCCTTCAAAAAACCGTTCTTACAGAGTAGACCATTTTTTGAAGGCAGATCTGCCTTCAAAAAACCGTTCTTACAGAGTCCCCAGTGGCGTGGCCTGGGCCCCACTGGCCGATTTACCCCCTCAGACGGGGGATATGGGCCGTTCCCTTCGGGTTCCGAGGCGGGTTATCCCCAACTGGGGTGGTAATTTGGTGGGGGCCGCGAAGGGGATGGGGATGGGGATGGGGATGGAGAAGGGGATGGGGATGGGGATGGGGATGGGGATGGGGATGGGGATGGGGATGGGGAGAGGGGAGAGGGCGAGGAATCGCTGGCGCGGCAAGAAGAAGTCCGGCCACGCCCCGCGGGCAGCCAAAACAGAGAGCGCAGGGGCGTCCAGACCCCCGAGCAGGACGGGAAGTCCTGGGGGCTAGGGTTAGGTCGCGCATGTCCTCCTACAGGAGGCTGCTCGACGAAAAATGAAGAAAGAATAGTCAAAACAATACGCAACACAGTTCAAACTTCCTTTTTTATATACGCAAACAAAACAATGATAACAACAACAACAACAACAACAACAACAACAACAGCAACAACAGCAACAACAGCAACAACAGCAACAACCAACAACCAACAACAAACAACCAACAATAACAACGACCATCAAAACAACAATCACAACAACAACAATCAACACAACAACCACAACAACAACAATCAAAACAACAACCACAACAACAACGACAACAACAACGACAACAACAATAGCAGCAACAACAACAACAACGACGACGACGATGACGATGACACCAACAACAACAACAACAACAACAACAACAACAACAACAACAACAACAACAACAACAACCACAACCACAACAACAACAACAACAACAACAACAACAACAACAACAACGACCACAACCACAACCACAACAACAACAACGAAACAAAAACACACAAAAACGAATGTTGAGCATTCCTACTGTAGAGGGACGTGCCCGATTTAAGTCCAAGGCGTGGGGGGTCGAGGGGGAGCCCGTCAGAAGCAGGGAGGCGACCGGGGGGCGGCCCACGGCGAGGCGGCAACCACCACGAAGAGCAGCCTTCCGCAGCGCAAGGAGCACGACCAGGCCGGCAGGCTCTCCTCGCACCGTTCCGAGGCCTCGGCCTGCGGCTCGAGGCCGTGAGAACCACTCAGAGGAGGAGATGGAGGAGGAGGAGGAGGAGGAGGAGGAGGAGGAGGAGGAAAAGGAGGAGGAGGAAAAGGAGGAGGAGGAGGACGAGAAGGAGGAGGAAAAGGAGGAGGAGGAGGAGGAGAAGGAGGAGGAGAGGCTCGAGGCCGTGAGAACACTGGGTGAGCTTCGGAGCGCCGCGAGAACCACTCAGCCCGTTGGACTTGCCCGCGGGGCGACGCGAACTGGATCCAGCGCAGCCTGCAAGCGAAACCCTCGCCTGCCCTGCAGCAGCGGCCCCCTCGCCATACACAATCGTGGGAACGGGGCCCGCAACGCGCCCACCGCGGCAAATCTCCCTGAGGCCTGCATGCCGCACAGTGGAAAAGACCAGCGCTGCTACGGACCGCCAGCCAGCCTTGTTTTTGACAAGACCTGCACATTTCTTGGAGTCCCCAAAAACGGTGCGGTGACAGACCGTGCGGTGACCTCGAAATCCTCCAAGACCTCACCGCACGGTCCGTCACCGCACGGGTCTTGGGACCCCGGAGGCCCCTGTCGCCAGAGACGTCCTCGGAGAACGACCCGAGTCCCAAAACCGTGCGGTGACCCCGAATCCCCACCGACTCACCGCACGGTGTGGCCACCACCCCGTTTGGGGGCCCCGACATTCTGTGGCCGAACTGATGAGAAAATCATCCTCCCTGGCCAGGCCCTTCTGTGAGTCGCGGAGGCGCTGCCACTATGTGCACTCGCACGGGCCTCCGGCAAGAGGGGCGGCCGCCAGGCGGCCGTGAGCCGCGCCGGAACGCCTCTCCGGTAGACATCACACCGACTGCTCGAGCAGCGAGACGGACAGTCAGACCTCCCCGGGGCCTGGGCGTGGCGAGCGCGCGAACGTTGTCAGAATGACTAGGCAGCAGCCATAGGTTCAGCGGCAACGACACTGTGCCGAATTAAGGCTCTGTGGAGTTGCGAGCAGGCGAGAGAGAGACGCCCCTCCAGCTCGGCCAGGACCGAGAGGGGGGCAAGCCGAACGCGGCGCCGAGGGAGGCCCGAGACGAACCCGTTTGGATCCTTCCTCCCCGAGCTGACCTCCGATGTGCCTGCGGGGGGATCCGGAGCGCGAGTGGGGGCGGCCCCATGGGGACGGGCACGGGCCTGCTCCCAACCAACACGAGGCCTGTGGGGGGACCGAGCAGGCGGAGGAACGAACTGTGCAGCACCGCTTGCGTCACTGGGGCTGGCGCCTGGTTTGGCGTCCGACTCCCTGGTAACTTTGAAACAGGAAGAGTATGTAGGCAAGATAGTGCGCGCGGGGGGGGGACCCAGCGTAGCGGGAGTATGCTCGCCCTGGGAGCGAGGCGCAGATGCAGCGTGCGACACTTCAGGCGATGGACCAATGGAGGCCTGGTTAGCAGTTCGACGAACTTCAGCCTGATCCTGATGTTCTTGCGCGCTGAAACGTGACCAACCACTGAGGCGACGAGGACCCTCGGTTCCACAAGCATGTGAGTACAGGAACACGCGCTGACGAGCTCGACGCCCTGACCGTGCAACCCGTTGCTCCTCGAACTGGGCAGGAGGCGGCTCAAGAGGGCGGGGAGGCAGACCACACGGAGATGGCGGCACGGGCGACGGGACGAGCAGAAGGCTGGCACACGGCATAGCATGTGCAGCTGCACAGGATCCAGGGCGAGCGGAGGCGGAGGAAGGCCCAGAAGCGCAAGACCTCTCATCGGGAGCGGCCAAGAGGGGGGTGTCCAAGAGGGGGGGGGTGCAAATCCGCCGGCCCCCTTGTGGGGCCACCAGGCTGTAGGCGCGAGGTTCGCAGTTTCCTGTGCCAGTTGTAGCTTGTAGTTTCCAGTGTTACAGTTCTGCTTCTTGCTGGTTACTGTAACTAGTTGATTGACCGCGCGAGGGGGGGGGAGGCCCAAACCGACATTTTAGCACCTCCTGGGCGCGTTGTCTGAATTGCTGGGGGGGCTCGAAATCGACACCCCTCACGCAGATCCGCGGGGTCAGGGTCCAAAAACACATGGGATTTGCCACATTTCTGAAATTCGGTGCCACCCCTCACGCAGATCCGCGGGGTCAGGGTCCAAAAACACAGGGGATTTGCCACATTTCTGAAATTCGGTGCCACCCCTCACGCAGATCCGCGGGGTCAGGGTCCAAAAACACATGGGATTTGCCACATTTCTGAAATTCGGTGCCACCCCTCACGCAGATCCGCGGGGTCAGGGTCCAAAAACACAGGGGATTTGCCACATTTCTGAAATTCGGCGCCACCCCTACGCAGATCCGCGGGGTCAGGGTCCAAAAACACAGGGGATTTGCCACATTTCTGAAATTCGGTGCCACCCTTCACGCACATCCATCGCAAGGCGTGGTAACCCAAACTGCGAGAACTCCCTCGGCCCTTTAATCGCAAGGTGTGGTAACCAAGCCCGTAAACCATACACGTCTTACCAATCGCCAGGTGTGGTAACCCCTCTTGTGATCAGTTGGTTTTGCTGATTGCGACTCGGCTTCGCATGAAGTTTCGATACTGCTTCACGACAGCGCCAAGGCCTCATGACTTAGCTCTTCCATGGCCCATTCTCCGAGAGAGGGGGCCGGCGGCAGGGGGCGAAGCCCTTACGGATCATGACCGGCGGCATGTGCGCAGCCCAACGGGAGGGCCTGGGACGTAATAAAATAAGAAGAGGCGCCACGAAATCTGAGAAAAAATCATGGCCCGCGCCATGAAATCCACCCCCCCTAGTCATCACCCCCCTCTTTTCCGCTCCTGATCTCATGTGCAGCGTCAGGGCGAGCCGGGGTGCGGCGGCAGGGTGGGCGGCGGAGCCCTCCGAGGAGGCGGCAGCGGCAGCGGTCCGCCGTGCCACCGTCCCGACGCGCCGCGGCGTTCCGCCCTCCGCGGGAGGGCCCCAAGGGCGGACTGCGAGCGCGTGCCGAAGAGGGGGCAGCACGGCTGCGGCCACGGCTCGGGCCTGGGAGGAGGCGAGGGTTTGGAGTCCCGAAACGGTGCGGTGACAGACCGTGCGGTGACCTCGAAATCCCCCAAGAGACCTCACCGCACGGTCCGTCACCGCACGGTTTTGGGACCCCGGAGGCCCCAGTCGCCCGAGACGTCCTCGGAGAACGACCCGAGTCCCAAAACCGTGCGGTGGCCCCGAATCCCCACCGACGCACCGCACGGTGCGGTCACCACCCCGTCTGGGGACACCCGAGAGGGAGGAGGGGGGGGAGGGTGCCAGAAGGCGGGGAGCGGAGCGGGAATAGAGGTGGAGGGCGGAGGGGCGAAGAGGAAGAGGGCGAGGGGGGAGGGAGAGGGGACGGGCGGCAAGCTGGGTGCGCTCGCGCCTCATCAGGCATCCTGCCCCTCACACCCATCCATTCCCATGGCGCTGTTTTTTTCTATCCGCCGACGCGTGTCACAGCGGACCTGGAACTCCAAAGGGGACCCGCATCGCATTATGCGCAATCAGAAAAAGGAGGCTGCAGACAGGGGGGAGAGGGGGTCATGGGAAGACGGGAAGGGGACAAGGGGACGGAGGGGAGTGGAATAGGGGGAAGGAGCAGGATTGGGAGACAACTTCTGCGAGGTCTTCGCGGGAACGATTAAGGGTGACTAGGCACGGCGAAGAGGCCATCAAGCTGGATTCAACAATATTAGGCTGAAATGAGGCTGGATTAAGCGGGACTGCGCCGGGTTGAGTGGGATTGGGCCGCAGTAGGACGGTTTTCGACCGGGGATATGCCAGCGCCGATGCTGAATTCAACCCCCCAGGAGTTGCAACCAAGGCAGGGGAGGAGGGTAGGGAAGGGTTCGGCGTCGAGTGCTGGCTTGTGTAAGGAAGGATACACACTCCAGATTCTTCAATGAGCACCCTCCACATGCCGCTCCGCCCGACGGCCCGTTTCAGCCCCCGCGCGCGCCGAAACACCCCCTCACGCGATCCAACCCTTCCACGCCCAGCGCGGACAGGCCGCTCCTAATTACCCCCCCGAACGATCCACCAATCCACGCTTGTTGAGCAACTCTGGAGCAGACACGGATATGCGAAAGATGAGGGGCAGAGAGACTGCCATGGCAAAAGAAACGCGACCACCACCGTCGCGCCGGGAGACATCACGAGACCGTGAAGGTATGCGATGCGGACGGTCCCAAATCCCTTTCTCGTCCAGTCTGCTCGAAACTGCTGCTCTCTGGCGCCGCCCCGGAAAGCTCAAGCGATGCTGCTAGAAGTCTTTCTGGGGCTCGAGGAGGTCCAGTGGCAATGTTCAGGGAGAAGTGCGCGAGCGGACGCGACGTGAGAACGAGCAGCAGAACGAGCGGGGGGAGGACGACGACGACAGCGATGACGACGGCGACGGGAACGGGAGGGGTCCTTGGCCGCAGCCAGCCTGGATGGCACCCCCG